CCCCAAAACCCCAAAACCCCAAAACCCCAAAACCCCAAAACCCCAAAACCCCTTTATAAGAAATACGATTTGAACTTGTCTTTGAATCTACAGTAATTAAAACTCAAGGTTGATGAATTTCTTCAACATTTCCAGGGATCTCTTTGGTTGATCCATTGGGACCATGTGACCAGCGTCGTAGACTCTGAGGAAGGTGAGACCGTTAGCTTGCTTGAATTCTCCAGCTTCTTCATCGTCAACAGTCCATTTTTGGTACTCGTTAGAATGGAAGTCTTCTCTTCCTTGCCATTCGAGAGCGTGAGTCCAAGCCTCACCTCCTCTCCAGTTACAGATGAAATCTTTGTCTCCTGAGTACACAAGGATCTTAATGTCGTTCTCAAGGGCGTACTTAACCTTGGATGAAAGGTCAACCATCCAATCTCCGAGCATGAAGGTATGTACAACCTGATTGCAGCTGCTCCAGGCTCTCTTTCCAACACCCAAGAACTCTCTTACTTCAGGGAGATCAATAAACTTATCCAAAAGTGCGAAATCGTAACACAATGGGGGAACTTCGCATTTCCTTCTAATATCATAAACGTTGAAGTTTGGACTGAGAGGGAATCCCAAGATGGTAGTGGTCATGATCTGGCACTCCATCAAAGCCAAAGGCCAGATTTTAGTCCAGATGAGTCCCTGACAGAGCTTGAATCCAGCAGTCAAGATAGTACTATGGATACCACCAATCAAGTTGTTCTCATAGGAGAACTTGTTATATTCTGGATATTGGACATAAGGATCTACCAGACCGTTTCCAATAGCAGATGAAACCAAGTTAATATCTGGGTTTCCTTGTTCAGCAATGTAGGCAGTGATGGCTGGGATGTAGTGTCCGGCATAACTCTCTCCAGTAATAAAGAAATCTCTTCCTCTGAACTCTGGATATTTCTCAATGAACAAAGTTAAGAACTTATACATGGTTTTGGCAACCATCTTTTCATTTCTGGCATAGTGATCTGGCTTGTCTGTTCTACTGAATCCAGTTCCTAATGGCTGATCAATATAGAGCAAGTTTGAGACTTCATTCCAGGAGTATTGGTTCTTCTCCAAAGTCAAGTCATCTTGAATAATGAAGGGTCCGTTTTCATAGAATAGTGCAACTTCGGAAGAGCATCCTGGACCACCGGTGAGCCACAAGACCAAAGGATCTTTCTCTGGTACGTCTCTTGATCTGAAGAGCCAGTAGAACATGTCGTCTCCTTTCTCGAGCTCAATAAGACCTGCTTCGTGATCTTCTCCCAAGAAGATATCGTCAGCAGCTGCGAAGCAAATGAGTGCTAAGAGGAACAGAGCAGTTTTCATCTTTATTATTATAATGTGGAATAACTTTTAGGGGTTTTGGGGTTTTGGGGTTTTGGGGTTTTGGGG